CCCTTCCTCCCCCCTCTCTCGTTTCTTTTGTGCGTGACGAAAGCAGGCAGGGAGGGGGGAGGGGGGCGCTGGATCCGTGTTAACTCGACACCAGGGTGCACGGCTCGGACACGAGGCTGTAAAAGGCCTGCCTGCCTGCCTGCCTGCCTTGCAATCCACGCGCATTTTAATTTCAGCTTAGAGTTTGTTAGCGGTTCTCTCGCGCTAAGACGACAGATCCTTCCTCCTCCCTCCTCCTCCCCCCTTTAAAGCCGGGTTAAAACTCGGACACAAAACTCGTGCCAGCACGACGAGCAGCCCTTATCTATCTACTATTACTACTACTACTATTACTACTATTACCTTCCAAGAGATTATCCTGCCGATCCTTCTTCCTTCCGCCAAATCTGCCCTCCAGTCTCCTTCTTCCAGCCGCATTTTCAACACAATTTTTCGCGCGTCATTTTGCTTTGGCTCAGGCGCTTAAGGGTTGTTAGAGGTTGTTAATTTCGTCCCCTCCCCGATCCTTATTAAAGGACCGACCTCCTCCTTTTTCACGAGTTTCGAAGTTGGACGTGGCTCGTCTCTCGATGGTCAGATCTCAGGGACAATTAGGGGGAGAATGGGTGGGGAGGGATCTTTTCTTTTTGAGGGGAAGCGATCATTTATCACGAAAGGGGATACGAATATATATATATATAGAGGGGAGCCACACCTTTCTTCCGGCACGTTGGCACGATTTTCCGAGATATTCGAGATATTCCTCTTTCTTCGTGCATCGCGTGCGTAGTCGCACCCCCTTAACGACGTCTCGCCACACCCCCACAAAAAAACTCGAATCCCTCCCTCCTTTCTTCTCGCGAGATTTCTCGGTTTCCGTTGTTTAAGAAAGGAGGGGAAGGTAGAAGAATTTTTGTCGAAAGTAAATAAATAAATAATTTCGATATCATTAGAGGGAGATTAGAATCTTATTGGATTATTGAAACTAACTTTGTTTCAATTATTGGAAGAAAAAGAAGAAAAAGAAGAAGAAAAAAGAAGAAAAAAAAAGAAGAGGAAGAAGAAGAAGAGAAGAAGAAGAGAAGAAAAAGAAAAGGAAGAAGAAGAGAAGAAGAAGAAAAAGAAGAAAAAAAGAAGAAGAAGAGAAGAAGAAGAGAAGAAGAAGAAGAAGAAGAAGAAGAAGAAGAAGAAGAAAAGAAGAGAAGAAGAAGAAGAAAAA